ATAGCGGGCTCTATTTGGATTCTCCCTGTAACATGAGAGAACTACTCTCATGTTACATGAGAGTAATATTACCCATAATTAAAACTACCTACATTTTTTTTGTAGATAAAACTACATACATTATGCTCTTGTGCTAGATTGAAATTACTAGACTCAATGATTTATGTTTCGTTGACCAAAATATAATTATGTTTTTCAAAGTATTAAATATCAGCATAGACTCATTCACTAATCAATTTTCAAATTCAAACAATAATAAATGGTTGTAACATTAATTCACCAATTAATTCATTCAATTATAAATTGTTACTAACAGGGATGGGACACAAGTGCTAGCAGCTATAGAAAGTGTTAAGTGTGGGTAGATCGTGACTATTTACCTTATAGGTATGTGTTCAGAGATATCTATGAGAGATATATCATATTAGCCCAAAGCCAATGTACTAATCATTGCGCAATGCAGTGGCGAACCTGTGTGTGTGCAAGTGCACACATAAATTTTTTGGTAAAAAAAAGAATAAAATATATTTTGGGTCATCATAAAAAATTATAGGACTCAATTTAATCTTTTAAAAAAAAAGTTGATTCGTGATCCCTTTAAATGTCAAAATAGACCCATGTTAATCCTTTTTAGGGATTAATGTGGGTCTTTTTGAATTTCAGAGGACCATGATTTTGGTTATCTGAATCTATTTTTGAATTCTGAGGGATCACAAGTAGACTTTTTTTTCCCTAAGAGATTAAATTGAGGCCCATAATTTTTTGTTGAGGACCCAAAATGTTCTATTGTAACAGTTTAGTTGACTTTTGATTACTTTTTTTTATATTAAGTTAAAGTTTTCTTTTCTTTTTTTGTTTATATTCTTTTGTATTTTAATATATTTAAAATTTTCTTTAAATTTTTTTTCTTTATTCTTTTATTCTAAGTGTGCAGACATTAAAAAAAAAATCGAGGTCCGCTATTGGCGCATTGATAATAGACATATAGCCAAAACGTAAGGGTGTGTGCACAGTGTTGGCAGCAATAGAGAATGAGTTCAAAGATATGTACCTGGGGACTTTAGCATTTATTTATTGTGTTTACCTCTATGAACTTGGGCCTTAGATATCTCTATGTTGTTAGCTTTTTAGAGTCACTATTGAGATATAAGTCTCATTCCTTGATCATCTGTTAGTTAGGATATTGTCTGGATAGACCTTAATCCTTTGTTGGATAAGTTGTTAAGAAATGGATCCAGTCCATAACATAAAGGTACAAATTAATGGTGGTAATTCGTGTCAGAAAGTTGTATTCATGCTAGGTTGAGATCTAATACGAACATGAATATGCCAAACTCGAGCAAGATTTTGTAGGTTGACACGAATAAAGATTTCATGTCACACATTTTAACTTGACCATGATTTTGCAGGTTAATACGACTTGACACAAATAACTCGTGAACCTCACATTTATATTTTCTTGAAATTGATGTAACTCGCTTATTACGCTTGTTGACACAATGTGAATAACTTATATAATAAATATTGTTTTAATGTAAATAATTAGTGTAATAAATATTATTTTCATTAATTAATAATAATAGGGGAATGATCCATTTACAAACTTTTTTGAATTTTTTTTACAAATTACACTATGTTCTCCCGGGAGAACATAGTGTAGTTTGTAAACAAAAAAGTTTGTAAATATAACATGTCCCATAATAATAATCAAACAATGACACCGCGTGACACAGATAACTTTCTTGTCAAAGACATAATTAAACACAAAAATTCAAGTCAATGTCACATTTGCGAGTTAACACATTATATGACACAAATTTTTCCATGTTATTTTTTTGCCAACACCAATATGAAACAATGTAAATGCGAATAAACTCAAGTACGAAAATCCCATGTCGTATTTATATTTTCATATTGTGCCATCCAGTGGCGGACTCAGGATATTTTCCTATAAGGGGCAAAAAATCAAATATTTCTTCTTTTCTTATGATGAAATAATCACGTAAATTTAAAAGGTAGGGAGAGTAAACCCCTATGTTGCACCAACACCGACACAGGACATAAAATATGACACGACAAGATACTCTGACACGATAATTCTAAAAAATGATAGATTTCGACACGTTACAACACGTTTTAATAATAAATAATATTTTTAATTTATGTAGTGTATATTATATTTAATATTCAATAATTTAACAAAAAATTGAAACTAAACTTATAATACCTGTCAATTTTGCAAAGAAACATAAGATGTGACTATTTACTATTATATTTTTAAATTGAAAATCTATTATACACTCTAGTGAGATTTATTCGGTGTCCACTTTTAAATTTTATTATATTAATTTGATAAAATGTTAAGAGCATGCCAGAATGTCGGAGAGTGTTGGGGAGTGTCAGACACAACACTAAGGTTTTTTGAAGTGTTGGTACAACATAGATAAACCTGACTGATAAGCCTCCCAATTCAGGGAATGAAGCTCTTGGCATGCCAGTGGTCTTTAGAAGATTGTCAACAATAATCAACATATATAATGCACACCAAGATAGTGTCAATGACATTAGGCCACATATAGATACAACAGAAGCTCTGAAAACAAGTTGAATAATCTCTTCATGATTTCGTATACTTTGCTGATATTTGACAGCGCATAAAGGAGTAAAGCAATAAGTAACAAACAGTATATGAAATTATATATATCATCTGAAAGAACAAACTTTCAAATTTCGATGTCTTACTGATAAACCTTTGGTTTACTATGTTTTTAGGCTAAATCATATGAGGAATATGCAGTAGATTGCATGGAATTCAAGGTTTTACAACATATAAGTCAGAAAATAGGAATTTGAGCTAACGTTTTGATTTTCTTTGCATTTTGGAGGTAAAAACCACACTTATTGGTGCTAAAAAGTGATGAAGAAATCATGACAAAGAGTTGCAGCTCAAGATGAACCAAAGGAAGCCAAAATATTACAAGTCAAAGGCCAGAATAGAACGCTCGAGCGCACAGAATGGACGCTCGAGCGCGTTCAGGCAGGGAAAACAGCCAAATTGAGCAATCCAGGACGCTCAAGCGCACAAATGCACGCTCAAGCGCACAAATGCACGCTCAAGCGCCCAAGATCACACAAATCCACCATCGAGGAGCGCGCTCGAGCGCACAAGTGGACGCTCGAGTGCGTGAAGGCAGGCAGAATCCAGTAATTCATGCTCAAGAGGACGCTCAAGCGCCCAATAGCGCGCTTGAGTGCCCTAACACGCACCAGTCAGCCAATATTTAATGAGACTTAAGAGATTTGCCACAGGATATAGATTTGTACTATTTCTTGAATGAAGAGGAAACAAATCAGTCTTGATTTATCAACTGATAGATATCCCTGGGAAGATTTGAAGAGGGATCGTAACAAAGATTCGAAGCTCAATCCGTCACCCAATCTAAAAGATCTTAAATAAGAAAAGGAAGCAATTAAATATTTTATTGCAAATTTGATAGGGATTCATGAGAAGATTGGATGGAGGATTAGGAGATATGGCTTCAATGGTTATAATTAGGGAGCTGAGGGTCAAGGAAAATAGACTTTTACACTGGAACAATTCCAGAGAATTACACAAAGACTTGAGGGAGGAATCCTGTTGCGGAGCGTTGGAGCACTGAGGAACCAGGTCAACATCACACCAATGGAGGCTAAGGGTTCTCTTTTCTTTATTATTGCTTTTGAATTCAGTATGCTAGGCTAAACTTTTATGTAGTTAAGGGTAGATGAAACCCAAATGAATCTTTATGTTTATGAATTAAATTGTGTCTGAATTCTTTTCTTTTTATATTTGAATAAATTTATCTGTCTTTAATGCTTTCTATGAATTTGCTCTTTATAGATTGATTTAGGGGAATTGTATGACAATAGGGATGTTGGTGCATGAACCCTGACTTGGTAAATTTATCACAATCCTTGTGATCTAGGGATAGACATAGGGAAATTGTGCAATCTTTAAATTCTTGATCTTAATGCATGTTTTCTTGGGGAATAATCGGGAAACTAGAGTTCTTTCAAGATCATATAGATTTAGGGTAACAAGGAATTGAGCTCTAATTAACTTAGACAGAATTGATTGGCATTATATTAAGAACAGATTCTTGGCAATTTAATTCATTGCATATAGAGGAGATTGGGGGAAGTCGAAACCTTAACTACGCTTGTTTTACATTCGTAATCAACCATCATCCTTTCAATTGTTTCTTTTTAATTCTGAATTTTCTTAAATTGCATGTTGTTGCTTGTTTTTTAATTTTAAATTCCTCAATTACAATTCTCTCAAATCCAATTCTTGATTGTCCAACTAAAACGCGATTAGGGAACTAGTGCTTGAAAATTCGATCTTCGTGGGAACGATCTTGTACTCCGATACACTTTATTACTTTACGACCAGTGCACTTGTCGAGTCGTAACAAGTTTTTGGTGCCATTGCCGGGGATTGAATCCTTCAACATTAGAAGTAACTAAAAACTATCTAGATTGGACTTTTTATTTTTCTGCAATTTAAATTTTGTGTATATTTTATTCTATTTTCTTCTATTTTATTTTTTTTATTTTTTTATTTTTTTTATTTTTTACTTTTTTTTATTTCTAATTTTTTATTTCTAATTTTGTTTATTTTTTTTTGTTTATTTTTAATTTTATTTTATTTTTTTTAATTTTTAAATTTATTAAATTTTTACTTTTTAAATTTTTAACTTTTAACTTTTTTTATTTTTAATTTTTTTGCGTAATTCTTCTTTTTCTACATTATATTATTTTATTTTTAAATTTTCTATTTTCTGCATTTTCTGCACATCTTTTCAATCTTAGTTTATGCGAGGTATTGTTAACCTACGATTCTTGTAGTTTTTGATCCTAAGATAGAAAAGACAGAAAGAAAACTCAGAAAGAGCGCAAAAGAAAGAAAAGAAAAAGAAGCAAAGGAAGTATCAAGCTCGACGGAACCAGAGGAGGAAACCATGGCAGAGAATAATCGACTCCCACCTATTCCAAGGACGTTGGGAGATTACATGACCCCAGCTCGAGTTCCGCAGATGGCAAACATTGTTAGACCAAACGTGGATGCTAACAACTATGAGCTCAAGCTGGCACTGCTGCAATTAATTCAAAAAGAACAGTTTGTCGGAGGAAGCACAGAAGACCCCTACAGTCATCTAGAGAATTTCTTGCTCTACTGTGACACCTTGAAGATGAATGGAGTCTCACGTGACGCCATCTTGCTCAAACTCTTCCCATGCTCACTAAAGGAAGAAGCAAGAGGGTGGTTGTTGTCACTGCCTCAAGGAAGCATCACCAACTGGGATGGATTGGCGACCAAGTTCTTGGTTATATTCTTCTCAGCTTCAAAGATGGCAAGGATCAAAGCAGATATCACTTCTTTTGAACAAAAAGAAAGTGAATCCTTGTACGAGGCATGGGAAAGGTTCAAGGGACTGCTCAGGAAGTGTCCACAACATGGCTTTGAAGCTTGGGAGAAAGGACGGATTTTCTTCCAAGGAATGACGCCTAGTACAAGAACCTTGGTGAATGCTGCATCAGGAGGATCATTGAAAACAAAAACTCCAGAGGAAGCACTAGAATTGTTGGAATCTTTAGCCTCTCAGGAGTTCGACAATGCTCCAGTCACACAAAGGAGAACGGGGATCATGAAGCTTGACGGCTTTGATGCAATATTGGCCCAGAATGAACAAATACTTCAAATGAATAAGAAACAACAAGCACAATTAGATGCTCTTACAAAGCAATTTGCTAATTCTCAAGTTTCTTCTGTTAATAATTATCAAATTACTTGTGGTATTTATGCAGGTACTCATGCTACAGAAGAATGTGATTTGATGAGAGCACCTGAAACTGCTGAAGTAAACGGACTCTAGTATGATCAGAAGAACCAGAATGATCCGTGGAGGAACCAGTTTGGGAATAACTACAATCAAGGGTGGAAGAATCAGAATCAGCATCCAGGATTCAGTTACAAATCCAACCATCAGCTCAACCCTCCCCTTCCAGTGCAACCACATCCCCCACAACAAAGTAACACCTCAGAGTGGGAGAAAGCCTTCACACAACTCTCTAAGACCACTTCAGACGATATTCAAGGTGCAAATTCTTTCAGGGAGGATACATCTACATTCATGCAAGAGACCAGATCAGCACTCTGGAATCAAGAAGCTTCCATAAGAAATATGGAAACCCAAATTGGCCAGTTGTCAAGGCAATTTGCTAAGAGAGCCAAGGGTACCTTCCCAGGAGACACTGTCATTAATCCTAGAGAGCACTGCAATGCAATTACCACAAGAAGTGGGATAGTGATTCAGCCTATAAATAAGCAACCTGAAGAAAAAAAGAGAGATGTGGAGGCATCAGTTGAAGAAGAGAATAAAGAAAAGGCAAAGGATACTATTGAAGTTGACAAGAGCAATCCTGAAAAAATTGAAAGGAAATTATTTAAGTGGGAGAAGAAGAAAGCTTTAGAAAGGCAAGACAAATCCTTAGATCTCTCCCCATATGCTCGAATCCCTTATCCTCAGAGATTAAAGAAAGAGATTCAGAAGCAGCAACATTCAAAGTTTGTAGACATATTCAGGAGGTTGCAGATCAACATTCCTTTTGCCAAAGCTTTACAGAACATGCCCAACTATGCAAGGTTCATGAAGGATCTGTTATCAAGGAAGCGTAAGTTGCGGGAATGTGAGACGATAAATCTGACAGAGGAATGTAATGCTATCATCCAAAAAAAGTTACCTACCAAAGTCAAGGATCCAGGGAGCTTCAGCATTCCATGCACTATGGGAAAAGTGGAAGTGGATAACGTCTTATGTGATCTTGGAGCTAGCATCAATGTCATGCCACTCTCCATGATGAAAAAGCTGGGGATTACTGAAGTGAAGCCCACAAGAACAATAGTGCAACTGGCTGACCGCTCTTCAAAGCAAGCTTACGACATCATTGAAGATATATTGGTTAAGGTTGACAAGTTCATATTCATGTTGATTTTGTCATCCTTGATATAGAGGAAGATGTCACAATTCCAATGATCTTCGGAAGACCATTCTTGGCAACTTCAGGAGCGCTGATTGATGTACTTAAAGGTGAATTGATCTTACGGGTAGACGGAGAACAAGTAGTATTCAAGTTCTTTGACAAAGAAGTTTCCCCACATATAGCTCAACCGAAAGATCAAGTCTTCTATATTGGTGAAAGGAAAGGTGAAGAAGAACACAATGAGGAGTGTTCTCAAGAAAGTAAGCCAAAAGTTAAGATAGAGAAGCCCAATAGCAAAGGAAAGCATATAAATACCAAATTCAAAGTTCTGGAGGTTACTTTATCTCACTAATATGCACAAGAGCACTATGGGAGGACACAATTTCTGAATGATGGAGCTTGGTCATCACCAAGCTCATGCTTTGAACCCCCATGAAAATCAGGTACGTCAGGCTCGTGACGTTAAACAAGCGCTAATGGGTAGGCAAACCCACATTTTACTGTTTTATTTTAATTTCACGGCTTTAGTTATTTTTACTTTGAATTAAATAAAGAAAAAAAATACAAAAAGATAGGAGAAGGTGTTGAGACTAATAGCTATCATTGAGTGAATTTTACAGGTGAAGAAAAAGGAACAAACAACAAAAGAGCGACTGGTTGTTTTTATTTCTCAACGCATTTTATTTTTAGATTTAAATCTGTTGCTGAGGACATCAACATTTAAATCAGGGAATGGGAAACGCGCAATTCATCTAAGCATAATTGAGTAAGCCGGTGAAATTTCATGAGCATACACAGAATATTCGACTAAAACAGGGAACTATCTCAAATCCTTTCTCCTTTTCTTTAGCTTAATTTTTTTAATTGAATTTTTAATATTTAGTTTGTTTTGAAAAAACTCAAGCCATTGTTTTTGTGAAAATTAAAAAAAAATTCTCAGTGCAAATAAATGGAAAAATGGTAGAATATTTGATCAGTGATCTGATTCAGAGCATGATGATGCACCTTTTTAATTTTCGTAATGAGCATCAATGTAATGATTTTAATGATTCATTAAATATTCTCTTTAGTGATGAAATTTTTAAGATAAAGAATAGGAAAAGTGACTATGCATTTATAGCCGTGAGGTTTTGAGCCCATACAGAAATTTTTTATTGAGTGTGCATCCCACTGTATGAAAGACTCTAGAACTTGCTTTGTTTCTTGCTTGAATTGGTATGTGATATATTTTATGGATATGATTGAGGCATTTTCTTTCTTTAAACTAGATGGCCAAATAGCTAACCTTTGCCGACATTCCTTAGTTAAACCCCTTTGAGCCTAGGCCTGTTTATTCTTTGAAAACCTATGAAGATGAATAAGCCACTTTCCATATAAATCCTCACCTTATTTGAGATTAAATTTCAGATTTGAATTGAGGAAAATATGTTAATTAATTGATTACATAAATTGTGAAGTACTGGAGTACAGGGAAGAAAGGAAAAAGCTAAGGAAGTAAGGTTGGTTAGAATGAAAAAGAAACAAACAAAGAAAAGGAAAATTTCTCAGAAAGATGAAAAGAAAAGAAGTGAAAAGAAAAAAGAAAACTTGTTCTGAGAAAAGAGAACGACAAACAAGAGAAAAGTTCAAAAGAAAAAGAAGAAGAATTGACCAAAAAGAAGGAGAAAGTTGTTTACAAATTGTTAAATGGTTGCATCTATTCTTCTTTGAATCTGGATTTTAATCTTGGAACTCATTCTCTAAATTTTTCCTTTCTTTAGCCAGGCCAAGTTATAACCCTAAGCAAGACCTCTTGATCTGTTGGATATGTCACAATAACTGTAGAGAGCGAGAATATAATCAAGCCTATGGTAGTGTTGATTCAGTGGGATACGAGTGAAACACCAACCCTCTAAACAGTTGAGTGTGAGTGAATTGAATTCCTAGTGAGGGAGTGTTTCAGGAAATTTTCCTTATTCTTGATCTTAAGAAATTTTGTTACAGCTTTTAACTGATGAATTATGAATGTTGTTGATTGATGTATCATTCCTTAGAATTTGAATGCTCTGTAATCATGTCTCTGATAAATCCTTCCTGTCAAATTCCATGCTATTGAGGATTCCTACTCCCTATTCCCTTAGTTTATTCTGATTGATTGCTGAGGACAACAATATTCAAATCTGGAAATGTTTGATAAACCTTTGGTTTACCATATTTTTAGGCTGAATTATATGAGGAATATGCAATAGATTGCATGGAATTCAAGGTTTTACAACATAAAAGTCAAAAAAATAGGAATTCGAGCTAACGTTTTGATTTTCTATGCATTTTGGAGGTAAAAACCACACTTATTGGTGCTAAAAAGTGATGAAGAAATCATGACAAAGAGTTGCAGCTCAAGATGGACCAAAGAAAGCCAAAATATTACAAGTCAAAGGCCAGAATAGCATGCTCGAGCGCACAAAATGGATGCTCGAGCGCGTTCAAGCAGGGAAAACAGCCAAATTGAGCAATCCAGGACGCTCAAGCGCACAAATGCACGCTCCAGCGCCCAAGATCACATGAATCCACCATTGAGGAGCGCACTCGAGCGCACAAGTGGATGCTCAAGCGCGTGACGGCAGGCAGAATCCAGTAATTCATGCTCAAAAGGACGCTCAAGCGCCCAGTAGCGCGCTTGAGTGCCCTAACACGCACCAGTCAGCCAAAATTTAATGAGATTTAAGGAGATTTGCCTCAAGATACAGATTTGTACTATTTCTTGAATGAAGCGGAAACAAATCAGTCTTGATTTATCAACTAATAGAGATCTCTGGAAGATTTGAAGAGGGATCATAACAAAGATTCGAAGCTCAATCTGTCACCCAATCTTCAAGATCTTAAATAAGAAAAGGAAGCAATTAAGTATTTTATTGCAAATTTGATAGGGATTCATGAGAAGATTGGATGGAGGATTAGGAGATATGGCTTCAATGGTTATAAATAGGGAGCTGAGGGTCAAGAAAAATAGACTTTTACACTGGAACAAATCCAGAGAATTACACAGAGACTTGAGGGAGGAATCCTGTTATGGAGCGTTGGAGCACTGAGGAACCAAGTCAACATTACACCAATGGAGGCTTGGGGTTCTCTTTTCTTTATTATTGCTTTTGAATTCAGTATGCTAGGCTAGACTTTTATGTAGTTAAGGGTAGATGGAACCCAATTGAATCTTTATGTTTATGAATTAAATTGTGTCTGAATTCTTTTCTTTTTATATTTGAATAAATTTATCTGTCTTTAATGCTTTCTATGAGTTTTCTACTTATAGATTGATTTAAGGGAATTGTATGACAATAGGGATGTTGGTGCATGAACCCTGACTTGGTAAATTTATCACAATCCTTGCGATCTAGGGATAGACATAGGGCAATTGTGCAATCTTTAAATTCTTGATCTTAATGCATGTTTTCTTGGGGAATAATCGGGAAACTAGAGTTCTTTCAAGATCATATAGATTTAGGGTAACAAGGAATTGAGCCTTAATTAACTTAGACATAATTGATTGGCATTATATTAAGAACAGATTCTTGGCAGTTTAATTCATTGCATATAGAGGAGATTGAGGGAAGTCAAAACCTTAACTACGCTTGTTTTACATTCGTAATCAACCCTCATCCTTTCCAATTGTTTCTTTTTAATTCTGAATTTTCTTAAATTGCATGTTGTTGCTTGTTTTTTAATTTTAAATTCTTCAATTACAATTCTCTCAAATCCAATTCTTGATTGTCCAACTAAAATGTGATTAGCGAACTAGTGTTTGAAAATCCGATCCTCGTGGGAACGATCTCGTACTCTGGTACACTTTATTACTTTACGACCGGTGCACTTGGCGAGTCGCAAAACTTACCCCTGGGGAAACAAAAGTCATACTCTAGAACTTTAAAAATTGGTTTGGAGTCACGGCCAATCTCGAAAACTACAGAAGCTACAACAACACAAAGTATAACCATTGAAGTATTATTTGTACGTTGTAAAGATGCATTTGCAATAAGTGATGGCCACAAAACAAATTCTATAGCGAAAAAACAACTAGTAGTATTGAAACCTATGATAAGAAAATACAAATCAATCTCAGCCAGTGCATCAACATATCATGAATTTGTTAAAAAGTAACAATTACATTGATACCAGCAAAGAGGCCAGCAACGAATCCAGCGGCAAGAAGAGAGACAGTGGTAAAGATGCATTTGCAATAGGTGATGACCACAAAACAAATTCTATAGCGAAAAAACAACCCTAACAGTAGTATTGAAACCTATGATAAGAAAATATAAATCAATTTCAGCCAATACATCAGCATATCATGAATTTGGTAAAAAGTAACAATTACATTGATAACAGCAGAGAGGCTAGCAGCGGATCCAACGACAAGAAGAGAGAGCATTATGGTGAAACTCTTGTCAAAGAAAGAACCAACATATTTGGCAATGGAAATTGCGATTTCCACATTAGGACCTTCTTGACCCAAGGAATTATCGGTTCCTAAAGTAATAGAAGCTTCCATAGCCTTCACGAAAGGGCGTGAAGCGGATTTGAATGGATCTCGGTCCACATCAGAATCAAAACGCTCTCTGCAATTACATGTCGAGTTTGCCTCTGGTTGTAACGTGGACCAGGACCACGACAAACCATCCTCTTACACAACTGAAGACCTCATATTCATTATGGAATATATATTTTGATTATGACAAAAAGGTTTACAAAAAGTCTCAAATTAAAGATGGAGTTTGAAGACAAAAGTGGTTAGGTATTTTTAAAAATTTTGTTACACACTATATTATATCATACAGTATCTCCCTAAGCTCCAATGCATATCATTGCATTACATGCATTTAGTTGGATGCATTTCATATTCAAAATTAAATAAAAAAAATTTGAACCAAAAAAAAGTAAAACAATTAAAAATCAGTTTGCTTTTAATATAATAAAGTTACTTTAATTAGTTTTTTGATTAGCTATCAGGTCTCGTGGGTAAGCTATATTAAAATAATAATAAAATTCAATTTAA